TTGGGGAATCTGGGCATGTTCACTCCACAGGTTCCAGATGTTTGGGAGGAGTGTAAACTCTGATGCTGGTGTTGAATGGTCGGGGGCAGAGCCAGCTGAGGACGCTGGGCATTCAGGGAGGGCGAAGGAACAGGAGTTTCCTGACAGGAGCACAGTCAGCACTGAACTCGGGCATCTTCTAATTGAGGGAACTCATGCTGGGCTTCCCTGGTGTCTCAGCTGGTAGAGAATCCACCTGCAGTGCGGGAGACCTGGGTTCCATCCCCGGGTTGGGAGATCCCCTGGAGAAGGACAAGGCTGCCTACTCCAGTATTCTGGCCTGGAGAATTCCATGGACTGTATAGTCTGTGGGGTCGCAAAGAGTCAGAGACAACTGAGTGACTTTCACCTTCCCTTTTTTTCATGCTGGGAGGAGGGGAAGTGGGCTGCCGATAATAATGAGAAACAGGTTGCCCTGAGACACAAACCTGGGTTGGGGGAGGGAACTGATGAGCTTTTCTGTGCTTTTGGTGAAATGGTTGGTCCCCTGCCACTGTTTTCGTCCCTGTGGCTCCCAGAAAAGTTAAGCGGAAACACCTCCAGGTCGTTACCTACTGAGCACATTAACAGATACACAGTGAATGCGGGCAGACTTCCAGGCATTGCTGAGACCTCCCACGGCTGAATTCACTAGGGCACACCTCTTTCTCTCAAAACGAAGTATATTCTCGAAAAAGACAGAGAAATAGGAGCTATTGAATAAAAGTGTATAAAAAGTAAAAAATAGAGAATAGGTATAAAACCCAGAGGACGGTTAGGAGAAACAGCAGAGCAACATCTGACAACCCAACCGCCAACAGAACTGGTGGGGACGAACCTCGAAGGAGCGCGCAGAACCAGATCGCGAGCAATCTCCGGCATCACTCTGAGGAGTTTCGAGTTCCTTCCTCTGCTGAGGTAGGTTTTCCGACCCTAGAGAACCTAACAATTGTCAGGATCGAACACTCAGCTGCAGGAGATGCTCACCAGCATGATATTCATGAGCACTGGCCTTTCTACCTAAATCCCTTCACCCCAGTGTCTCAGATGATCAGATTTTTAAAGCGGTCCTCTTCAATTTTTGGCTTATAGCTGACCATGTCCAAGACTTTTCCATAGGCTAGGGGATTTGTTTATTGTCAAGGGGAGAGCATATTTTTCCCGTAAAGGATGAGGTACCCTCTCAAAATTCACCCTGACGGTCCCAGGCAGCTGAAGGCCGCAGGGAGACTTGACCCCGCTGCCTGCCCTCTGGGAGCCCGTCACAGAGGGCTTCATCCCAGACACTATACGGCTGGAACCCGTGTTGTACTCGGTCTCTTATAAGGATGAGCCAAGGGCCTTTTCTGGTGAGCAAGTGGAAGTTCTTTGAACCAGTTATAACTAGCTTCCCTTGATGTGAAAACCACATGGAATTCAGCATTCCCCCCTTTTATTTTTAGCTGAGGACTCAGAGGCTAAGAGAGGGTAAATGACTTCTCTGGGATCACAGTGCAAGACCATGGAGAATCACCCCCTCCAATGGACCTGGCTACTTGCCAGTTACCTAGCTCCGCGATCCGCTAGGCGAGCCTCCTGGCTGGGTCGCCTGAATCACTTAGCCGGCGTCTGACGGGCAGGGAAGGCAGGCGCTCTGCTCCTCTGCCTGCCTTGACCGTGCCTGTGGTCCCCCAGCCCTGGGGCAGCCGTGACCACCGTCAGTGACGGTTTCAGTCTTTTTCAGCTTTACTTCATCATTAAGGAGAGTTCCAGTACAATTTCTCATAATGATTCTTTCAGGTAAAAGTTTAGTTTCTTGCTCCCTCAAAAAGGGCTTCTGAGTGTTTGGGGGAGGGGGAGAAAAGGGACCCTTGTATCCACATTGTCTGAGGTTGGGTTTTCCAGAGGTAGACCTTGAGAGGAAGAAATGCTCCCAAGGAGTGTCTGGGAGGAGTCCTCAGGGGAATCCCAGAGCACTGCTAACACCCTGACCTATACAGCTGTTTCACTGGCGCATCCATCATTAGAAAATTTATCAAGCTGTGTGTGTATTGGTGCATACTTATGTATGCGTGCTACACTAAAAAATTCCACGGGGTGGGGAGGGATAAATTAGGAGGATGAACAGATACAAACTACTGTATATAGGAAAGATAAACAAGAAAAAGGAGAAAAAATTTCCACTGCTCTATTTTTTCTGGATATGGACACGTGCTATGCTTAGTCAGTCGTGTCCACCTCTTTGAGACCCCATGGACTGTAGCCTACCAGGCGCCTCTGTCCATGGGGATTCTCCAGCCAAGGATACCGGAGTGGGTTGCTATGCCCTCCTCCAGGGGATCTTCCCAACCCAGGGATCAAACCCAGATCTCCTGCACTGCAGGTGGGTTCTCTACCTTCTGAGCCACCTGTTCAGTTCAGTTCAGTCGCTCAGTCATGTCTGACTCTTTGCGCCCCCATGAATCGCAGCACACCAGGCCTCCCTGTCCATCACCAACTCCTGGAGCCCACCCAAACCCTTGTCCATTCAGTTGGTGATGCCATCCAACCATCTCATCCTCTGTCGTCCCCTTCCCCTCCTGCCCTCAAACTTTCCCAGCATCAGGGTCTTTTCCAATGAGTCAGCTCTTCGCATGAGGTAGCCGAAGTACTGGAGTGTCAGCTTCAGCATCAGTCCTTCCAAGGAACACCCAGGACTGATCTCCTTTAGGATGGACTGGTTGGATCTCCTTGCAGTCCAAGGGACTCTCAGAGTCTTCTCCAACACCATTGTTCAAAACCACCAATTCTTCGGCACTCACCTTTCTTCACCGTCCAACTCTCACATCCATACATGACCACTGGAAAAACCATAGCCTTGACTAGACGGACCTTTGTTGACAAAGTAATGTCTCTGCTTTTAAATATGCTGTCCAGTTTGTTCATAACTTTCCTTCCAAGGAGTAAGTGTCTTTTAATTTCATGGCTGCAGTCACCATCTGTGGTGATTTTGGAGCCCAAAAAAATAAAGTCTGACACTGTTTCCACAGTTTCCCCATCTATTTGCCGTGAAGTGATGGGACCAGATGCCATGATCTTAGTTTTCTGAATGTTGAGCTTTAAGCCAACTTTTTCACTCTCCTCTTTCACTTTCATCAAGAGGCTTTTTAGTTCCTCTTCACTTTCTGCCATAAGGGTGGTGTCATCTACATATCTGAGGTTGTTGATATTTCTCCCGGCAATCTTGATTCCAACTTGTGCTTCTTCCAGCCCAGCATTTCTCATGATGTACTCTGCATATAAATTAAATAAGCAGGGTGACCATATACAGCCACCTGTAGGAGCAACCAATTTATGAACATAGGCTAAATGGATATGGAGCCTATGGATATAGTTTATGGAAATAGGGCAAACTTTTTTAAAAAACATTTTGTTCTACCATTATATCTTTTTTTTAAAAAAATAAGTATTATTGATGTATAATTCATGTACATAAAATTAATTCTTAAAATGTATGACTCAGTGGTTTTTAGTATATTCACAGAGTTGTTTAACCATTACCATCATTTGGTCTCAAAACATTTTCATCACCCCTTCCCCTGGTGGCTCAGATGGTAAAGAATCTCCCTGCAATGAAGGAGACCTGAGTTCAATCCATGGGTCAGGAAGATCCCCTGGAGAAGGGAACGGCTACCCACTTCAGTATTCTTGCCTGGAGAATTCCATGGCTAGAGGAGCCTGGGGGGGAGGGGTCTACCATTCATGGGGTTGCAAAGAGTCGGAAATGACTGAGCAACTAACACTTTCATTTTCTGGTCCCCCCGAAGAAACTCTTTACCATTAGCAGACCCTTCCCGTACCCTCCACATCTCCCCTGGGCAACCTCTCATCTACTTTGTGTTTCTGTGGATTTGCCTATTTTTCACATGTCATATAAATAAAGCCATAGTTGGTGAGTCATTTGTGACAGGCATCTTTCAGTTGGGAAGTTTTCAAGGTTCATCCATATCCTATATTAGTACATCATTCCTTTCTATTGCCAAATAATATTCCATTGAATGGATATGCTACATTTTGTTTATTGATTCATCAGTTGATGGACATTTGTGTGGTTGGTTTTTTGGTTAATATGAATAATGCTACTATGATCATTCATGTGCAGGCTTTTATGTGGACACATGTTTTTAGAGCTATTTCTATTTAACCAAATAGAAACTTAAACACTTGCACATTATACAATAGCCTTCCAATTTATCTTTTAGATCAAAGAAGTCAATAATATAATATTTATAACTACATGATGCTTATATTTGCATTATATTAGAACTCACAGTGTCACACCAAAACTGCACTCGGAGGGAACTTCATACACTTAAATGTTATCACACCGAAAAGAAGAAAAACATGTGAATTATGCCTTCACTTCAGGAAACCCAAAAGAACAAAAGGAACAATAATGAATTGGAGGAACCATTAAAAGAAGAGAAGGCGGAACTGTCTGAGTAATGGTGTGATTTCAGGCAAAGACAGGTAGACCATTACCTCAACCCTGCAGGTTGTCTTGCAGGGAACCCTGTCATCTTAAGTTATTTCCCAAAGTCCCCGCTTGAGGACTTAAGGTGGAAGGACTGGGCTTTCTTATTCCCTCTGTAGTCACTCCAGTAGCTTGAAAGTGAAAAAGTGTTAGTCGCTCAGTCATGTCCGACTCTCTGTGACCCCATGGATTGTAGCCTGCCAGTCTCCTCTGTCCATGGGATTCTCCAGGCAAGAGAATGTGTGTTGCCATTTCCTTCTTCAAGGGATCTCCCCAACACAGAGATCGAACCAGGTCTGCCACATGGCAGGCAGACTGATAGCTTGAAGGACATCTCCAAAGAAGAGTTTGACCTCTCTGTCTTCTCTGCACTGGGAGCAGTTTTCCAGAGCACCTGCTAATACAGCTGTCTTTTGATGAGCAAGAACAACATTTACACTGCTGCTTCTGTAATTGCAGCTTTCCTGCCACAGCCCTTCATCCCCTAAAAATGTATGCTTGCGCCAAGTTCGTCTCCACCCCCTCCTTGATCAGGAGAACCTCTACACTACTGAGCCGATCACTGTCTGCAGTGGTGGTAAGACGACCAGAGACACTGACAGATGAGAGCCACAGCAGCTTGGCAGTAGTCCCCCGTCCCCTGACCACCTCACTCACTCCTGGCCGCAGCTTCCAAACCAGTGCCATTTCAAGGGACATCGACACAGCAGCCAAGTTCATTGGAGCCGGGGCTGCCACAGTAGGGGTGGCTGGCTCTGGAGCTGGAATTGGGACTGTGTTTGGGAGTCTCATCATTGGTTATGCCAGGAACCCTTCTCTGAAGCAGCAGCTCTTCTCCTACGCCATTCTGGGCTTTGCCCTCTCGGAAGCCATGGGGCTCTTTTGCCTGATGGTGGCCTTTCTCATCCTCTTCGCCATGTGAAGGAGCCGTTTCCACCTCCCATAGTTCTTTCTCCCATGTCTCGTCTGCCCCGTATGTTTCTTTTCCTGTACCTCCCCAGGCAGCCTGGGGAAAGTGGTTGGCTCAGGGCTTGACAGAAGGAAGACAAATAAATACTGTATTAATAAGATGTAAAAAAAAAAAAAGAAGAGTTTGAATGCAGGCGATGGAGGCAGACAGAGCCTGTGAAGGGACCCCGGGCGTCTGGCAGAGCATCGGCAGAGTCCACGTCACGGCATCTTCTGGTTCCCCGGTCCCCATAGAACAGTCCTTTGTCTGCATGGTTGCATCTTACCGCACGGGCCAAGGGGACAGGCTGGATTCGGTAAGCTGCTGGAGGTGGCAGCTGGGGTAACTGAGAGGTTATGGTTATGGCCAGAACTGGGGGTCTTCCCATGGGACAATGTCTTGTGTTGCCCGTGCACAGACCTTGCCATTCGTCACGTTGGCACCCTCCCCCCATCCCCCCCGGTGTAGGCAGCTTACTGAGGGGCTTGGCTCCAAGGTGACCTTGCCCTTGCCCACTGTGAACCCCAGAAAGCCTTGGGGCTCTTATCTCACTTACCTTTCTTCCTCCCGTTGGGGGCATGTTAGTTCTGTCCACACCTAACTTGGACTCAAGAACATGCCCCCTGCCCTCAAGGTCATGTAAGGGTGGGTAAAGCACCTACGCCACCCCTCCCATCCCCTCACCCCCTATAAGGAACAAGGTCACCCCCGTTCGGGGAGCAAGCAAGCAAGGAAGGATGTTGTTCATCCTCAGTCCACCTCGCTGCAGCAGGGGCCCCAGTAAAGCCGTGCCTGAACTCCTAAAGAAGAATCCCTAAGCCTGCTACTGTTTGAGGTGGGCTGTTCCTGAATTTGGAGTCAGGGCAGCCTGGGAGGCAAGGTGCTCCTGCGCCTTGAGACTGAGTTTGTGAGAAACACCATTGGTGGACTGCACTGACTCTGTAGACTGCTTTGGGGAGTACAGTCATGTCCCCAGTACTGATTCTTCCAATCCAGGAACATGGGGTCTCTCTTCATCTATTTGCGTCAACTTTGATTTCTTTCACCAGTGTCTTATAGTTTTCTGCATACAGGTCTTTTATCCCTTTTATTCCTAGGTATCTTATTCTTTTTGTGGCAATGGTGAATGACATTGTTTCCTTAATTTCTCTTTCTGATTTTTCATTGTTAGTGTATCGAATGTAAGGGATTTCTGTGTATTAATTTTATATCCTGTGACTTGGCTATATTCATTGATTAGCTTTAGTAATTTTCTGGTGGCATCTTTAGGATTTTCTATGTATAGTCACCTGCAAACAGTGAGAGTTTTATTTCTTCTTTTCCAGTCCATATTCCTTTTATTTCTTTTTCTTCTCTGATTGCCACATCTAGGACTTCCAAAAGTATGTTGAATAATATTGGTGAGAGTAGGCACCCTTGTTTTGTTCCTGATCTGAGAGGAAATGCTTTTGCTTTTTCACCATTGAGCATATTTTTTGCTGTGTGTTCATCATACGTGGCCTTTATTATGTTGAGGCAATGCAGAAGACATGGGTTTGATTCCTGGGTCAGGAGTATCCCCTGGAGGGGAGCATGGCAACCCACTCCTGTGTTCTCGCCTGGGAAATCCCATGGACAGAGGAGCTTGGTGCACTACAGCCCATGGGGTCGCAAAGAGTTGGATACAACTTAGTGACTTAACAACAACAACAATGTTCCTTCTATGCCTACTTTCTGGAGAGTTTCTATCATAATAAACCCATGAAAAGATGCTCAACATCTCTCATTATTCAGTTCAGTTCAGTTCAGTTCAGTCGCTCAGTCGTGTCCGACTCTTTGCGACCCCATGAATCGCAGCACGCCAGGCCTCCCTGTCCATCACAAACTCCCGGGGTTTACTCAAACTCGTGCCCATTGAGTCTGTGATGCCATCCAGCCATCTCATCCTCTGTCGTCCCCTTCTCCTCCTGCCTTCAATCTTTCCCAGCATCAGGGTCTTTTCCAATGAGTCAACTCTTCGCATGAGGTGGCCAAAGTACTGGAGTTTCAGCTTCAGCATCAGTCCTTCCAATGAACACCCAGGACTGATCTCCTTCAGGATGGACTGGTTGGATCTCCTTGCAGTCCAAGGGACTCTCAAGTCTTCTCCAACACCACAGTTCAAAAGCATCAATTTTTCAGCGCTCAGGTTTCTTCATTATTAGAGAAAAGCAAATCAAAACTACAATGAGCTATCACCTCACACTGATCAGAATGGCCAACAACAAAAAAATCTATAAACAATAGGTGCTGGAGAGGGTGTGGAGAAAAGGGAACCCTCTTGCACTGTTGGTGGGAATGCAAATTGATACAGCCACTATGGAGAACAGTTTGGAGATTCCTTAGAAAACTAGGAATAAAACTACCATATGACCCAACAATCCCACTCCTGGGCATATACCCTGAGGAAACCATAATTGAAAAAGACTCATGTACCCCAATGTTCTTTGTAGCACTATTTACAATAGCTAGGACGTGGAAGCAACCTAGATGTCTATAGACAGGTGAATAGATAAAGAAGCTGTGGTGCATACATACAGTGCAGAATTACCCACTAGCCACAAAGAGGACTGCACTTGAATCAGTTCTAATAAGGTAGATGAAGCTAGAGCCTGTTATATGAGTGAAGTAAGTCAGAAAGAGAAAACCAAATGTCACAAATTAAAGCACATATATGGAATCTAGAAGAACGAGCCTATTTTTAGGGCAGCAATGGAGGATGCAAACAGACAGACCTGAGGTACAGCTGGGGAAGGAGAGGGTGAGACAGGTCGGGAGAGGAGCGTTGCAACCCACACTTTACCACGTGTAAAATCGACGACCAGTGGGAATTTGCTGTGTCACAGAAAGCTGAAACCCACGGCTCTGTGACGACCTAGAGGCGTGTGGTGGGTGGCAGGTGGAAGGGGGTTCAAGAGGGAGGGGCTGTGGGTATACTTATGGCTGAGTCATGTTAATGCATGGCAGAAACCAACACAGTATTGTAAAGCAATTATGCTTTAATTAAAAATTAAAAAAAAAAAAAACCCTGAGTTTGTGAAGATCTCCTCTGGTCTGGTCGCTTCCTCCAACTCTCAAAAAGTGCCATTTTTCAGAGAAGCCAGCTCCTTCCTCTTGTCTTTCTCTCGTCCTTAAATCCTATGAGAAGGACCAAAGTTGGGCTTTTTGCTTCCTGTGTATCATATCCTTCCTGCCTGGGCAGCAGGCCCTTGGGCTTGACCAGAGGTGGACGGGATACTTAGCTTTACTACGGAAGACACCCTCTGACGTGAGTCAGCTCCTCTTGGTAAGTTAGAGCCAGAGATAAGTTTGCTTGGAAATCCATTTTCTTTTGACAGAGACATGTTTTTAAGTTTTTAAGTCTTAAGTTTTAAGACAGAGACATATTGCTGGGCATTTGAAAATTCTATTTTCCAAGTCAGAGGCTAAACTAAAGCTTTCCATTTCTTTGCATTCCTAAATAATAATAATAACAGTCCTAATTCTCCTCAAGGCAGATGGATGCCTCAGGCTGCCTAGAGAGCTATCTCTAGAAGAACATGTAAGAAAAACACTAATGTTACTATTGAGTGAGTGAAGCCGCTCAGTTGTGTCCAACTCTTTGTGACCCCATGGACTGTAGCCTACCAGACTCCTCCATCCATGGGATTTTTCCAGGCAAGAATACTGGAGTGGGCTGCCATTTCCTTCTCTAGGAATTGAACCCAGGTCTCCTGCATTGTAGGCAGACGCTGTACCGTCTGATCCACCAGGAAAGTTCCATGTTACTATTAGAGCAGAACAATTCCAGCCCAATATTCCGACTCACAACTCGAAGGTTTGGTATCAGGCTGTAGATTCCATCTCATCATCCGAATTGGTTAGGAGTCAAACCTGAAGCCAGTATCTGCTCCTGTTGAAACTAAGAAGGACGCTGTGGGGTTCTTGGGCATGAAAGCCTTTTTCTCCCTCCATTTCTTCTAGGCAAGACTCCAGCCTCCATGACCTTCCCTGAGTTCCAAAGGTTAGAGACATTACTTTGCCAACAAAGGTCTATTTAGTCAAAGCTATGGTTTTTCCAGTAGTCACGTATGGATGTGAGAGTTGGACTATAAAGAAAGCTGAGTGCCGAAGAATTGATGCTTTTGAACTGTGGTGTTGGAGAAGACTCTTGAGAGTCCCTTGGACTCAAGGAGATCCAACCAGTCCATCCTAAAGGAGATCAACCCTGAATATTCATTGGAAGGACTGATGCTGAAGCTGAAACTCCAATACTTTGGCCGCCTGATGTGAAGAGACAACTCATTATAAAAGACCCTAAAGCTGGGAAAGATTGAAGACAGGAGGAGAAGGGGATGACAGAGGATGAGATGGTTGGATGGCATCACTGACTCAATGGACATGAGTTTGAGCAGGCTCTGGGAGGTGGTGAAGGACAGGGTTGCCTGGAGTGCTGCAATGCATGGGGTTGCAGAGTCAGAAAGGACTGAACAACCACAAAACGAGGTAGGAGCAACCAAGAGACCACCCGAGGCAAGATTAAAGGGCCAGAGAAGCTCATCAAGGTTAGCAGACATCACCTGAGACCCTGGCACACCTTAGTCTTGTCAGCAACTCCACCCTTGAACTATTGCTGAAAAACCTCTCATCAAACCCTTCCAGATTAGGACATAGCTTTTGAGGGCGAAAGCCCACTGTGTCCCCCTCTGCCTGACAAACCAGTAGAGCTATTTGTTTCTACTTTACCCAAAACTCTGTCTCCAAGATGCGATTTGGCACCAGTGCAAAGGCTGACCCTTTAAGCATCACGTCATTAACACACATGCAATTTCCTCACTCGGGGGATGGCACCACAAATTGTGCAAAGGTGTAAATGATTATAAAAATGATCATTCTTTGAAGCACACCATCATTTTTCACAATAGACTATAATTTTAGAAACTAGCATAACTTCCTAGTTAGTGGGCTTTCTAGTC